CGTAAAAATAAATGCAGGATTAGCGGGTTATCGTTTGCAGTTAATGCCAAAAAATGTATTCCTCGTGATTTTGGATTCACTTTAACTACAGTGAGATTATTATATTACAAGCTAATTATGTTTTTTTATATTTAATCCAATTGAAGTCAATTGGACTAAGTTAATATTGTCAATATAATATCGAGCTGATTTATGGAAAAACTCCCACAACAAGGGTCCTGTGTTGAGTCTGTTGGGAATATACATTTGTATTGACCAGTTCCATTGTTGTGTTGTTAGGATGCACTTTAGAACAAACACTTAAAGGGATTGGTAAATGTTAAACTTCCAAATAAGTGGTTTAGGGTCTGATTCTTCTCACCAATGACATCACTAAACTTTTTGCTTTAAATGGGGAAAAAAAGTCAGAAACTCCTCACGAGTGTGTCTGAACCTTTCTGACAGACTGCACCCAATGAGAGGAAGTCTAAACCGGATTTGCTCCTAGACTCGGTCACAAAATCTACACTTTTGATTGTTGCAAAGCAGCTTTTGGGCTGACCCACTTGAGCTCGCCAACGTCAAAATGAAAAACCTCCGACTGATAATGAGAGCCGGTGGACTTCAGCTGCCATCTTTGCCTCTGCCTGGCGGAGAGGAGCTCCGAGCAGCTGCCGGGTTGAAAAACATCTGGAGCCATTTTAATTCCACTCAGCATTTAATCCAGATCACAATGATCCAGTTGTTGCAGGGTTGAACGAGGTCTTCCTATAAAGATTTAGACCGTCTGCTTGTTTTGGACGGATTAGATCAAAGCTGCAGGGAGGACATGACTCATCAAGTGTCTTTGAGCAAGGCATTATATCAGTCATTGACCTCATTCGGGATGCACCAATAAGACTTTTTCTCCCTTAACACCAATCTGGTTCCTTCAAAACAAGGGCTACCTAAATCATTGGGTAGGTACAATGGCTGCAGGAACAGAGAGTCAACCAAAGGTGTAATCTGATTTATGTTATTTAGCAAAAATGCCCAAAACTCATAGGTTTCAGCTTCTAAAATGTGAATATTTGCCGATTTGTACATTCTACCCAAGGAGGTTAGGTTTTTAGTTTGGTTTATACGATGGTCAGCAGGATAGCAGAAAACCTAATTGCCCGATATTTATGAAATTTGGTGGAATGGTGCATCATGGGCTAAGGAAGAACATATTACATTTTTAAGTGGACCTGAATCCCTTGGGTGGAGATATTCATAATTATTCACTTGTGTAAGCAGCTATAACCGCTGTCTACGCTCTCCTAGTGCCCTTCCAGTTTTCTGGGACCAAATATCTTTGAATTCTGGTCCATTTAAATAGTCAGCTTGGGCTCTTGAGGTGGCATGTCTCACCCATTAAATAGGACAAACAATTAGTGGATAAAAAAAGGTCACTAAAATAAAAATGGTAAATGTTGCCCCTACGTTTTCACATTGGGTCCCCATTGTGTTTGTATGGTACGGGCACATGAGAACGCACATGCAACACATTCTTAACCCCGTTCTATGCCAATTAAGGGACAATTGGGGTCGGCATTCGAGGAAGAAATGTATTAAAAAGCCCAACAAAGTTAAGAAAAAGACAGCAGTATAGCCAACAACGCAGCTTTGGAAAAAAAGGTTTACAAATCAATGCAGGAAGGTAATGCACTGCACAGATTAAAGACATTGAGGATACACACAATGCATTTTGGTCAGAAACACTACATTTAGCAAGAAATCTCCACAGCAGCCTTAACGTAAACAGGTTATCAAAATGTCCGATACCTGATCTGCTTAATAAGGTCAGAATCCAGCAAGATAACTGCTGTATGTGTCAGATTGGTACTTTTCTAACACACCATTTGCCCATCAATAATGTATCCACAGCTGCAACTGATGGTTTTTATTCTTGACTAATACCATTTAAAGTTAGCCAAGCCAAACCAGATAAATTGTCTTGCTTCAACAGGAATTTGTAATTGTGTTTACCAGAACCAAATCCTGAACAAATTAAACTCTATTTAATGGTGTGAGTATTAAACACTTGTGTGAGCAGATGTCCCCGTGGCATTGCACTGACAGCAGCCTACATAATACATAATCTGATTTGGCAAAATGTCACATACAGAAATTAGATTTTTCACCGGGGGATTATTAAAATGCAATTCATGCTCTCAATACAGAGGAGGTCATCATCTAATTCCAACAGATCCGTTTAAAAATCGCCAGAGTTTATTACGTTTTCCTGGCTTTTTATTAAATCTCCACCAAAAAAACGGCCTCCATTTTGTGTCAGAGACGTGTGAAGAGGCTGACGGAGAGAAGAGTGGATAAATATCCCCTCCGCAAGTAAACAAAGCCAGGCTGCAGAAAAATAAACAACTCAGGGTGTGACAGAAAGACAGGAACAGAAAATAAAAGCATAGATGAATCATACTTTCTTGCAAAACCACTAAACCGCAAGGTATTCTCACCAATTTTCTCCTCTAACCAGATACTGATTATAGATTTAAAGAGCATCAATTAGTGTGTTCCTATCATTCATTACAGCAGACACTCAGTTCCACAGTCTCTCTGCTTCTCAGGCGTTGATGATATATTTTTAAAAGGTTTTTCAAGCATGCATCACACTCTCACTGCTGCGTTAAAATGGAGGATTCCCGGATTAATTTCAATGAAATGGTGAAATTAAAGGATGCATTCACTCGTAAACCTATTTAGACTCCCATCAATGTGAGGGATGCTACTGATAATGACCTCAGACAGAAAGCATCAGCAGCTAGGAGTGGGGGAGGGGTGAGGAGGAAGAGAAGAAGAAAAAGGCAGGAAATGATGGACGTAAAAAGACAGATGGGAGAAACAATAAGGGAAAAGGTGATGCAAGAAGAAGAGAAGGAAAGGGGGAGGGAATACAGGAGGAAGGAAGGAAAGGAGGAAGGAAGGACAAGTGGAGGAACAAGCTTTAATCTGCCACCTCTTTCAGCGAGACACACAAAGACATAATGTGGGAAAAACAAGAAAACCTTATATCAACCATTTATTATCTGAAGTATACGGGAAGCAAGGATCATTACTCTGAGGTTTTAGGAATGTATCTGCTTTTAAATTTGCAAGAAGACAATACTCGGAGGATTTCGATGCCTTCAGGGCCGTGTGAAATTCTGATTATGTTCGATAGCTTATTCATGCTGATGGTGATGACTAATGTTTTGCATTTTAAATGAAGTCCTGGATAACAGAGCAACAGTGGAAGTGCAGTGAAATGCTCTGATATAGACTATGGGGTAACACACGTCCAAACTATCAGTTTTTAGACTTGAGCTGCTAATAAACTGTTTTCAGCTTCTCAAAAGTAGATATTACTTGATTGTCTTAGTGTTAAATCATATTAAAAAGCAAACATGTGTGGGATTTAGACGAGAAGAAGGCATCTAAAGACATTAACCAGAACTTTTAGGAACTGGATTGCAAATGTTTCGCTTTTTATTGACCAGATGCAGATTACTCAATCAGAAAAGTAACATTTTTTTTGGATGGAAACTATAATTTACATTTTTTTACTATGTTCAATCTGAATTTACTTTAAAGTAAAAACATCTATATTGATTCTGACTTTTTTCTACATCCAACTCACAGGTTTATGATTGCTTTGAGAAAAAAGATTATTAATTTACCCCTTCTAGAAGTGAAGATAGTCATTTGTTCTGGGAATGTCATTTTCGAGCCTGAGACCTGAAAAACAGGCTTGGGCCATAACACCTGGATTAAAGGATTTTACGTAACATTTTGGCCAAATGTGGCTGTTTTTAAGACATTATGTGCCATCCTTTCTCTCATTTAGCTGTTCTGCTGTGTCAGTTCAGCCTCCTGCCAGTCACAGATTAAAGCTGCTTTACATCTGAATGATGAGACACGAGCACATGAAGCTGCATGTGTTCACAGAGCCAAGGACTCTTTGTTAGCACCCTTTTCATGTCTCATGTCTGTAAAAAAACTCACTGAAAACACTTACAACGAACATGGACTATGCTCATTCTGCTTTTATCAGCTCCTATTTTCAATTATGTTTAAATCAAGTGCAGTATAAACAGCTATATATACAGGTTTTTGAGTGAGGAGGATCTACAGATGCACATAGGGATGTGGACGCTGCTCAAACAAGCCATTGTGTAGCATGTAAATACACTCACAGCACAGGCCTGTGTTGTGTGTGAATATGTGGGTCATTAACATGTCCCATATCCTACCCCTTGGGAAGAGAATAAGAGTGTGTGTGTGTGTGTGTGTGTGTGTGTGTGTGTGTGTGTGTGTGTGTGTGTGCTGCAAGGGGGATGCAGTCTGACATTCCATCACGTTAACCCTTCTTTTGCCAGAGGATGAAATACCAACACACACATACACACTAGCTCTCACTGGTAGGAACAACAAGCCTTCATACCCAATCAAACAAACGCACACTCACATAAGGAGCGTCACATCTCATCACAAGTGTCTGTTTATAGGGTTGTTTTAATGTGCTCTTAATGATCAAATGTGCAGAGATTGTTTTTTCAGTGCTTTTGTATGTTTTCTTTTAGACAGCAACGACTGCAGATAAAAATCTCTCTCTCTCTCTCTCTCTCTCTCTCAATATGTAAAGCAGTGGTTACTGGGCAATCAAACATGTTGTCATCAACTGAAGTAGGGGTTATATCATCAGTCATCTAATCCTGTGCCTGTTAGCTTTTATCTGTGCTCATATGTGTGCTTTTGTGTGTTATAGGGTTTCATTAATTCACTTTAACATATGCTGTAATTCTATTTTTTCTGTTTTTATGTGCTCTTGTATGTTTCATCTGAATGTCAAAATCTGGCACATTTACATGATGGACTCAGCAGGTGCCAGTGTTAATCAATCAATGTGCAGAGTCCCAACTTCAATAAGTAAATAACAATACACACACACACTACCTTCACCACACACATATTCTCTCTCACACACACACACCGGGCCACCACACCCACCTTGCCGGGTGGAGACGTTCCTCTCGTTGGCGGCTGTTAGCACGACCTGCGGGTGGCTCTGCTCCAGCACGAACAGCTCGTCCTTCCCGACCCGCGCGTTCTTCCCGGACTTCATGGTACCGGAGGGCCCTGAAGGCGCCAGGTACTTCCCTCCGCAGTCCCTGAACGCCACCTTACCGGAGCGGAACTCCAGCGTGTATCCGGTGCTCCGGTCGGTGGTGGCGAGCAGCGCACCGTCGCTGCTCAGGAACCGGTTGTCTGAGGTCTGCAGGTGGTACCGCTGGTCCCGGAACACCAGCGTGATCATGGAGTCCACCCCCCACGGCACGTCTCGGTCGATGGCGATCTCGTCCACCTTGCCGCTCAGGTGCGCGTACCGCTTGCGCGTCACGCTGAAGAGGTTCACCTGCGGGTGCATGGCGATGTGCACGCTCCACTTCTCCGCCACAGACGCGGTCTGCGCGAAGCAGATGATCCGGTCCTCGGTGCCGCCCAGGAACCGGCCGTGCGGCTCGGATTGCAGGGACCAGCGGCCATCATCGTGCGCGGTGATGACGAAGCGGCATTCCGCGCCCGGGGTCTCACTTTCCCCGGTGACGTTCCCGTCCTTATCGGCGGCGATGTACCGGCCCAGGTGAGACTTGAGGTGGAAAACGTTCCCGGTGGAGTCGTCCCCGCTCTGCTCCAGAGTCCAGATCTGCTTCTTCTTCATACTGGAGGCGGACGCGTTGATTTTGAAGCCGAACATCTCCGCGGTGAGGTATTTGTTCCCGCAGTTGATCAGACCGAACTGGATCTGCAGCATGTCGCTGGTTCCGTTAGTCGAGCCGTTGGTTGTCATTGTCGGTTTTTCTGTGCGCTCGGACCGGGACCGGTTCTGTGCCAAAAAGAGGGGATGGATGGAGCTCGAGGGCTGAAAGGGTGGGATGCTCTGTGCTGCCTCGCGTGCTTCTCTTTGTTTGGGAGAGTGTGTGTGTGTGTGAGCGCGCGCCACCGGTCCTCAGTGCTCTCCCTGTCTTAGCAGCGCGAGCATGCTGCCACAGCTGCAGCCTATATAACCATCAGTGACGTCACGGGACTGGCCATGCCCCCCTAAAATGGACCGAAGTTTGCCTTTTCTTTGCTTCGTTTTCTGTCGATTTAAAACAAAAAAAATCCTTCCAGTTACAATGCGTATCTCTTTATTATCTGTGTTTCTTACAAGTCTTTTAGTCAGGTAAGTGCTTATACAGAGAANGTGTGCCTTGGCAGTCTCAGCCCTAAAATGGACCGAAGTTTGCCTTTTCTTTGCTTCGTTTTCTGTCGATTTAAAACAAAAAAAATCCTTCCAGTTACAATGCGTATCTCTTTATTATCTGTGTTTCTTACAAGTCTTTTAGTCAGGTAAGTGCTTATACAGAGAAATGAAGAATGGCTTTGACTTGAAGGTACACTGAACAATGTAAGGCCACATGCTCCAGTCCAAACTACATGGATGACGTCAGTCTATAGTTGAAGTTGCTCAGCTCAGTTTTTGCAAGACCATATTACAAGAAAAAAATCAGCCAACATCTATACCATTTTCAATTTTGTTCGGTTTGTGTTGTCATTAGTTGGAAATGGAGGAGTTGAATGAATTCCTCTTTTGTAAACATATGTAATGTGTACATAAAACTTTAGTTTCTGCATTTGATCCAGTAGGCTATAGGAGCTGTGGGCAGCTATTGGACAGCGCTCTGGTGCCTTGCTAAAGAACACCTCGGCAGGGCCCTGGGGGGAAACTGGCACTTCACTAGAGTAACACTTAAGACCCTGTACTTGGTCCATTCTGGGACTTGAACCGGTAACTATATATCCGATTCCCAAGTCAAGCTTCTAAAGACTGCTACTGCCCAAAAAGTGGTTAAAAAAGTAGTAAGAGTAATCGCAGTTGCTAAATAGGCTTGCTAAATAAATAGTTTAGCTAAACGGCCAACGATTGAGGTACTTTCTTCTGTCCGCCAAGAGCTGTCTCCAGTGTTGGAAGGACACGCCATGTTTACTGTTGTTTTGCTCTTTTTTTATCACTTCCATTCTTTCCCTGCCAAACATGTGACGAAGTATAATTGAAATAGTGGCTCTGCAGCAGGTATACTCATTGGGGGTGGTTTTGGCACAGTGGTTAGAGCGTTGGTCATCAGATCATGGGGCGTTGGTGAACTCCAGTTTGCCCGCCTCGGCCACCACTGCGTCAGGCCGGTGTACACTTTACCCGCAGTAATGACTGTCTAATATGTGTAATTGTAAAGCCCTTTGAGCCCCTGTAAAAAGCGCTCTAATAATAAAAATGCAATGCATTATTATTATTATTATTATTATAGTCGCCTCTAGACGTAGACCACGTGTTATTACAAGAAAGGACCAGGTGGGGCTAGCTTCCAAATTGTGCTAATCTTAGTAGATTTCTCTGCAACATTATATCTACACGTCTATCTATGTCATAACGTCAACACTGTACCCTATTCACATTCAGTTCATTTTTTTTAAAACAAAAATTTGAGCCATAACTTACACATTGCACTCGGACGAAGTTTGCTAACAAGAAAGGCATCTTTTTTTTAAAGCAACATTCACATTTAGGGAAATAGTTTTCCACCGTCTGATAACATCATATCCCCCTACCTCTCACTCTCACTCTTGGACACACTGATCAGATGGACTCAGCATTTGTGTGTGTGTGTGTGTGTGTGTGTGTGTGTGTGTGTGTGTGTGTGTGTGTGTGTGTGTGTGTGTGTGTGTGTGTGTGTGTGTGTGTGTGTGTCCACGTCCACACACAAAGCTCTATTCATGGCTGGAGCACGCACATCAGAGGGCAGGAAAGGCCCGGCTCCATAAACAAAGAGGCCAAACAGATCACACTGGCATCTTCTCAGAGCATGAGCGTGCAACTATACAAAGCGTGGGGGTCATCATATCAGCAGCAGCTGCACACTTAGTGCATATATTTTGATAAAAACACACACACAATGGTCATAGAAGAAGTAATTCATAACTCAGTGAATAACATGAATGCTGTGACTCTTTCCAACATGGATGCTTTGTGTCTGTAGTAGGCAAAGTGAGTGAGAGTAGTGGTGGCATCCTCCACCTCCACTGCAAGCCACACATCATTTATGCAAAGGAAGTCTCTAAGATTAGCAGATCCAGGATCAGAGCTCCCTTTGACAGGTCAGTGTAGTGAGTTAAAGGGGACATTTCCTGCTTGGGTTCATAATCATATTTAGTGTCTCTCCTGTGACATGTCTCCATGCTTTAATGTTCAAAAAGCTCTTTATTTTTCTCATACTGCCTGTGCTGCAGCACCTCTTTTCACCCTCTGTCTGAAACCAGAGCCCAGTCTGCTCTGATTGGTTAGCTGGCCGGCTCTGTTTTGATTTGTCAACCATTTATTTCCACTGCAGCGCGTAGCACGGTTTAAGCGTGTCGTGCCAAACCCGGCCCGTTTTTTGTTGCGTTTCCTCTAAGCGTAGTTCCGGCTAACCAGTAGTTTTTCACAGTTTTTCTGGCTCTCCAAAATCGAGGTTCTTTCCGGGCCAACAACCGGGCTGAGTATGCTAAACTAGTGAGAGAATTGTTGGCAACTACAACAAAATGAACATATTTTACCGTGATTTAATTATAATACACGTTTCAAAATGATGCCGAAGTAACAACATACTGATACCCGTTAGTAAAAACCATGAATTAATGCTTTGACGAGTCTGCAGACAGACGGCAGGCTAAAAACCTTTTAAAATGCGTGTTTTCTGAATGGAGATCAGTTAAGCTAACGTATGCTCCGACCGTCCACACTCACAACAACTGCCTATACAGACATAAATAAACCAGCGACTGTATTCGCCATGACACAGACAGTCTGCGGTTTGTACTTGTTTCACTTTTGTCTAGTTTCTGAACAGATATGAGGAGCTCTGAGCTCTGAGGGCAAACAGCTAACAACGGCTGATGTTGGTTTTGTGTTTCGCATTGAAGATGACGTCACGGCTCTGCCTACACTGCGTTACTATAGTTACTACCCCAGTTCCTAAACTGTAATGGAAGCGCAGCTAAAAGTGAGCCTGGCCTACCAAGGCCTAACTATACCGTACTAAGCCGTGCAAGGCCCTGCAGTGGAAATGCGCCATTAGAGATGTCCTGCCCCTTAGCCTATCACGTACAATATGTTGGAGCGCTGGCCAATAGAAGTCTGAGTGTTACATAGTGATGTCAAAGTGGAAGTAATAAAGCAGTCCAATGGAGGCATTTCATGCAAAAAAACGGGATTTTTTTTTGCCTTTGCAGACCATTCACATGTACCAAAAACTATATAACACACGACTACAGGAAGCTGAAAACACAAAAAATTGGAGAATGGAGACTGTGAACATGTCCCAGTAGAGGCACAGAAGACAAATATGAACCTGAAAATGAACATGATGGGCCCCTTTAAAATAACTTTTTTTTTGCAGTTTGAGCACCACAAGCCAAGTGCCGTTTAGTCCCATTATATTAAGGAGAAGGCAGACATGTTACGGACGATATCTCCAACACACTTATGCCATAACAAGATTGATAAATAGCACTACAGGCAAAAGGACAATTAGTGTTTATGATTCTACTTTGAACTGCCCCTTTAAGATTGACATGAAACCAAATCAGAAGTAATTGTTTTTCCACACAATTAAATAATATCCATAAATGTTCACCTCCACAACCATGGTGTTTAATTCAGTGAGTCTCTTTCGCTTCCCTTCATGTTAGCAGTTCTGCAAAGGGAAAGTAATCCGACCCTGAAATGTAATCTAATCACTGGTAATCTCTTGCCGTCTCGTTCTCTGTTGCAATGTAGGTAAATCCAATCTGCACACAGAACATCTTCAAATAAATCACATTTCAGTGTAATGTCAGCTCCAGAATCACGCGGTAATAAAATCACCACTTTTTCTGATGTATTTCTGCTTGTTGTTGTTGTGCAACACCACATTTGTATTTACAAAACTGGATTTTAATATGAGTACACAGTACAAATCTCTGGACTGCAAGAAATGTAAGCCTTGTCAAAAAAAGGTATTAAACTAGCATCAGCTTCCAGTCCACATAAACAGTCTTTGTATCGCTGATATGTTTACTGAACTTTTAGAAGCAGATTTTTTTTTGCTCATCTGGCAAAGCTGGTGTAACGCTGCCTTCAGGTCCAGTCAGAAATATGGAATCTCAAGAGGCATCTAAAGATTAAAATGTTAACAGGTGCAATATTTTAAGTGATCTTTACAAGCCCACTGTACACCTAAATGCAACAGGATTGAACCCTTAAGTATGAGGCACATTTTCAGGTTCATATTCATATTTTTGGTTGGTACTTGTCTTTGCCTTTGTTGAAAAAGAGTTGATTTTAAATTTGGATTTGGAAACACATTTGCAGAATAAGTTCTGATGTAGCGAATTCCTCACATGGCTGATCTTTTTATTCTGCTTGTTTCGAACCCCTCCACTTCATTAGTGCTGTTCAGTCTGTTAGTAAGTTCTGCAGCAGCTGCTCTGACCAAGGATGTGTTGCATGCAGTATTCAAACAAATTGTGACATACTACTTCATCACAACCCTTAACCTCGACCCTCTGGCTCATATATCTTCTGTGTAAAGGATCAGTCGGGTCAGAATAGCTAGAAAAGCATGCTGCCTTTCATACTGCAAAATGCAACCGGATGCATTCAGACACCCTGGTATTCTTGGTATGCTGCATAGGACACACTGTATTGGGACTTACTTACAGTATTAAAAACCATATGTGCAGTGCTTTTACAGATCTGGTGTGTGTGTGTGTGTGTGTGTGTGTGTGTGTGTGTGTGTGTGTGTGTGTGTGTGTGTGTGTGTGTGTGTGTGTGTGTGTGTGTGTGTGTGTGTGTGTGTGTGTGTGTGTCCATACTGTATCGCCTCATTTTCAGCTATCTTTCCCAGCAGATGGACGCCTCCATTGTTGCAAATGTAAAATCATCACACACACACACACACACACACACACACACACACACACACACACACACA